GAGCTTTTCAACATGGATTACGATTCGAACAGTTTAATGAGTCATTAGCTCATAATCCAACTATCAGCATGGACAAGATCACTACTTGAGATGAGTGTTACATCAAAGAAAAGAAAGTAACAAAGAGAAAAGAGCCCAAGATAGCAGTGAAAAGACAAAGATCAAGGAAGAGGCATAGAATAGGAGAAAGGAGCATCCTCGGGTAGCTACACGCGAACGACATGCTCCCAGACCATACAGAAAATCATATAAGTCGGACAGAGACCTCACCCTGTTGATTACAAGTAGAGGATATATCCTTATAGAAGTCAGATATATGAACCTGTTACCGGAGCCTCATCATCCCAAAAGAGAAAACACTATCACAAGAAGGAAACCTGAGGCTTGGTGCAATTACTACCGTATATAAGGACATCACACTGAGGACTGTCATGCTAGGGCAGTCATGCATATTGACCAGATAGAGATATGCTAGGACAGTCATGCATATTGACCAGAGATCTCTAGAGAAACCAAAAGGCAACTTAGATGTTGTAACATTATCAAAACAAGACGTCATCAGAGTCCTAACTCATGAAAATGATCCCATGGTTATTAAAGTATAAATAAGAGACTAGAGAGTGAAAATGGTATTGATAGACCCCAGAAGCTCAACTGAGGTACTGTATTGGGATGCTTTTAGAGGAATGGGGCTTGATACGATCGGGTTATTACCATTCAAAGGCAATCTAGTAGGATTCTTGGGAGAACAAGTGCAGGTGCTTGAGCACCTAACGTTACTGACCACCTTTGGCAACACGAATAATGCAAAGACCGTCTGAGTGAGGTACTTGATAGTCAATGTTGCTTCACCCTATAACATCATTATAGGTCGGCCATCATTTAACGCCCTGGAAGCTTCACTTTCAACTCTGTATTTGACCATGAAATTCTAACTCAGAGAGGGACAGGTTGGTATTGTCAAAGGCGACCAGGGGCTGGCGAGAAAGTGTTATAAGGATAGCCTAAAGTTGAAAAGAACGGAACCCACAGGAGAAACAGACCCCAAAAATACCCTCAAAGTTCACCTGGTCGACATAGACCCACGTGATGATTCAGTTCAATACAATATAGTACCCAACAAAGAAACAAAGCAAGTCCATATTGGGCACCTACCGTCCCATGTTACACACATCGGGGTCAACTTGTCCCACGGAGAGGAGAAAGAGATCGTTCAAACACTAAAAGACAATGTGGATCTTTTCGCCTGAAAACCTTCGGACATGCCAAGGATATACCCTAATTTAATGTGCTATCAATTAGCAATCGATTTAGATATCAAGCCAGTTTCCCAAAGGAAAAGAAGGGGTGGTGATGAAAAGAGGAAAGCAATCACAGAGGAAGTCGAGAAGCTGTTACAGGTCGGGTTCATCAAGGAGATCAAGTATCTGACCTGGTTATCCAACATAGTGATGGTAAAGAAGAAATTTGGGAAATGGCAAATGTGTGTGAACTTCACAGACCTTAAGAAGGCGTGTCCTAACGATCCGTATCCATTGCCATTTGGACTCAAAAATGTTGGGGCTACTTACAAGAGCCTGATGGATAAGGTATTCGCTACTCAGATAGGTCAGAATCTGGAGGTCTATGTAGATGACATGGTTATCAAGACAAGCACAAACTGGACACATGTAAAGGATTTAATAGAAACCTTTGCATCCATAAGAAGTTACAACATGAGACTGAACTCGGACAAGTGTACCTTTGGAGTACACGCCAGGAAGTTCCTCAGATTTATGCTCACCAATCGGGAAATCGAGGTGAACCCGAATAAATGTCAGGCTATAATAGATATGAGAAGTCCAACCACGAAAAAGGAGGTCCAACAATTGATCGGGAGACTAGCCGCATTGTCACGATTTTTATCATGTGCAGGAGACAAATCAATACACTTCTTTGCAACTATAAGGAAGTCTAATGAGTTTGAATGGACAGAGGCATATGAAGAAGCCTTTCAAGAAGTAAAGTGTTTTTTGTCCTCGCCTCCTATCCTAGTAAGGCCCAAAGAAAATACACCTTTGGTCTTATATTTTTCGGTCACGGATAAATTCCTTAGTTCAGTTTTAGTACAAGATGGAGAAGACGGAGAGTGACCCGTGTACTTTATCAGCAAAGTTCTAAAAGGGGCAGAGCTAAGGTACCAGAAGATTGAACGGTTGGCGCTAACAGTAGTTATCACAGCCCGAAAGCTGAGACATTATTTTCGAGGTCACCCTATCACAGTCAAGACGAATTACCTAATCAAACAAATACTAAAAAAGCCTGACTTAGCAGGACGAACGGTTAAGTGGGCAGTAGAGCTCTCCGAGTATGACATCAACTTTGTGCCCAAAACTAGTATCAAGTCACAAACACTGACCGATTTTATGGTAGAGTTAAGTGCACCAGCTGGATAAGAGATCTCAAACAGATGGATCCTTTATGTAGATGGATCTTCAAATCTCAAGGGAAGCAGAGCCGAAATAATTCTGGAAGGAACCGAAGATCTAACATTAAAATACTATTTAGGTTTCAATTTTCATGTTAGCAACAACCAAGCAGAGTATAAAGCTTTGATTGCCAGAATGAGATTGGCGAAAGAGGTCGGAGGAACACATTTATTAGTGAATACCGACTCCCAGCTAGTGGTCGGACAGATGAAGAACGAGTACTAGATAAATGACTACACCCTGATAAAGTACCTTCAGAAAGCTTCGGGAATATCCAAAGCATTCTTAGAATTCAAAGTCGTCCACATCCCAAGAGAAGACAATGCCCGGGCCGACCTCCTAGCCCGATTAGAAAGCTCAAAGAATTTAGGAACGAATAAGACTATGATTTAAGAAGTTCTCAAAGCACCAAACATTCAATCAGAGGAAGTATTAACAATAGAGGATGTCCAAGGATGGATGAGGCTCATCATCAACTATTTGACCCAGGAAATATTATCTGAAGATGTTAATGAAGCCTGGAAGATTAAAAGAATAGCCTCCCGATACGTCATAATCTCGAACACGCTGTACAAGATGGGTAGGTCAACACCTATTCTCAGATGCGTGTCAGAGCCTGAGATTAAACTGGTAATTAAAAAGGTTCACGCCAAATATGTTACTGCCGAGTACCGTACCCTTGTAAACGGATATAGCACCCGAGGGGCTTATGTACATGCCAAATATATTTTAAGTCGAGTTGTGTAGCTGGACAAGGTTAATCACGAGCTAGACTATGATAACAAGAAAGGTCGAGTAACACAGAGAGTTAGACAAGTATCTCCTATAACTCGGACCGGTCACATAACCCGACTCCCGTCAGCCGAGCTCCTTGAAAGTCGAGTATATACCTCATCAACTCGGTACTTACGTCGGACATGAGCTCAACCGGCATACCAACAACTGTAACAGCGCATTAATGTGGACGTTACTAGAGCTTCAAAGCCTACATTCATGAAAGAGAGTTACAACAATGATGGCCATATAACGTCAGAAGGCCAAGAGACTTCTCTTAATGACATATCTTAATGGAAGGCTATAAAAGGGGCTCCTACATGAGGGTTAAGCAACTCATTTTGAAACAAATAATTTATTAAGATGTGACATTTATTTTAGAACAGAGAAAATATAATTGTTCATGTATATATTAAAATTCAATATTTAATGAAACAAACTAATCACACATATTAATGAGTTAATCTATTAACTTCTTTTACTTAGAGTTAAACAAATAAACTATTAATATATATGAGTGAGAATAAGTTAGACCAAATAAGCTACGTCAAACTCGAGTTTAACTTATTAAAAAGTTTAAAGTCTAAATTTAATATGTAGCTTATTATAAATTTATTTTTATATTTAAATTTAATATTTTCAAATATTTAATTAATCTATTAACCTACTTAAAACTATATTTTACTTGAATATTTGTATACCAAAATTCAAGTAACATTGATAAATTAAAAAATCAATAAGGTTTATAAGAAAATTTTCTAAGTTTTTCATAAGTTTTTTAAGATAATAACTTTTATTTTTATATTTTAATTAAAAATAAAAAAAATATAATAATAATAATAATAATAATAATAATAAAATTATTCATATTTCTTTAAATAAATTAGTCTAATAAACTTTAATTTGTTTAAATAAACTAATACAAAATTTAAGCTTTTTTACTTTAAAAAAACATGGCTTGCTAATTGATTTGATATATTCCCACCTTAGTATGAACATAACACAATTTAAAAAATTAAGATCTAAATTTATATTTTATGTGAGACCAACAACTTATTTAACTTAGAAATTATAAAAAAAAAGAAAAGTAAAAAGAGAGAATAGGCTAATGATTTAAATAAAGCTAAACATATTTTTTAAAAATCAGCTTAGAATATAACAAAAAGGTTTAAAAGGTATATTTAGAATAAATCAAAGAAATAGTGTACTATTTAAACACAGTCAACGTGATTGATTAGTCCAACCCGATCCCACCATAATTAGAAAAAACGTTAATCAACTAATTAATTTATCAATTTAAACGTAATTTCTCATTTATATTCACACCGGTCGCATCTTTAATTAAAAATTAATCAGTTTATTTTCCGATTTTAATTTCGTTTTTCCAGGTAGCCAATTCTTCTTGATAAAAAACAAACAAACAAACGTTACTTCTATGGCGGTAACATCTAGTAGTTACCCTCATCAGCTTCTCAAACCTAACAACAATAAACAAAACCAAAAAAAAACCCATCTTCTCCACCCACTCTCTTCAATCATTTAATCCAATAATTCTCACTTCCCAAAACCCAATTCTCACACACCAAAACCAAAATCTCATCTCTCTATGATCTCTCCATCAATTTCTTCCCCAAAAAACCTAATATCACAATTCCAGACCTTAACCATAACCACCACTTTTCTCATCCATCATCGTCGTCGTCTCCAAGAGTGTTGTTACTCCCACCATTCAGACTCATAAACCTAACACCAAACTCAATGTTCTCAACCCCATTCGTTCTCACTTTCTCTCTCCTCCTCTCTCTCCCAATCCTCTTCTTTCTCGCTCCTCGAATCCTCCCTCCTCACCCCACCCCCATCCCTATCTCCCCCTCCGACGAACTCGATGACATCAACCTCTTCAACAACGCCATCGCACATTCCTCAGCCCCTCCCTCTTCCCCTCACCCCTCCAAATTCTTTCACCTCTCTTCCAAAAACCCTAACCTAAAAATCGCTTTTCTCTTCCTCACAAACACAGATCTCCATTTTACCCCTCTCTGGAACCTCTTCTTCCAAACAACACCAACTAAACTCTTCAACATTTACGTCCATTCAGATCCTTCCATCAACATCACAACCATTAACAACCCTCTCTTCAAATTCATACCTTCTAAAAAAACCTACCGCGCTTCCCCCACTCTCATCTCCGCCACGCGCCGTTTGCTCGCTAACGCACTCTTAGACGATCCCTCCAACGCTTACTTCATCGTTCTCTCGCAATTCTGTATACCTCTCCACTCTTTCGATTACATCTACCGTTCGCTTTTTCTCTCGCCGACGTTTGATCTAACCGATATCGAATCCACGCAATTCGGAGTCCGTCTAAAATACAAAAGCTTCGTTGAGATTATCTCCAATGGTCCTAGGTTATGGAAACGTTACATCGCTAGAGGACGGTATGAGATGATGCCGGAAGTTCCGTTTGAGAAATTTCGAGTTGGATCTCAGTTTTTTTCTTTGACGAGAAAACATGCTTTGGTTGTTGTGAAAGATAGAACTTTGTGGAGGAAATTCAAGGTTCCGTGTTATCGGAATGATGAGTGTTATCCTGAGGAGCATTATTTTCCGACTTTGTTGTCCATGGTGGATCCTGATGGGGTTACTAGCTATACGCTTACTAATGTTAATTGGACTGGTACTGTCAATGGTCATCCTCATACTTATCAAGTGGATGAAGTTTCGCCGGAGCTTATTCTCCGGTTGCGGAAGTCGAATCATTCCGAGTCTTATTTATTTGCAAGGAAATTTGTTCCTGATTGCTTGGAACCCTTGATGGCCATGGCCAAATCCGTCATTTTCAAGGACTGAATAATTGGCAAATTTTCGAGATCTTGATATGGTAGGTTGTTATTATAAATTTATTGATATTATTGTTATTTCCAATGTTGGTGATGAATTCAATTTGTACCCAGAAAACTTGAAACTTTTATTCAATGTTACTTTTTTTCAGCTCTTTTTGTTAGAATCTGTGCCTGATGTTTTATTTGTGTTTGAAATATTCCTTGATAGATATGTTTAGGGTTTGTTCATTTACTTTTTGCTTATTGGATTCAAAGCCATGTTGAGATTTTGACATTTGAGGACTGAGAATGGGATTCTGTTGCAGTTTATGGAGTATAATTGCTGTTTATGTTGCGAGAAAATTGTTTAGGATTTACTGTGTGCTAAATGTCAAAAGCATGGTGCTAGAATCTTAGGTAGTTTATCTTTGTGTTGGTAAAAACTTGAGTAGATGCTAATTGGGGTTGGTCTGGATGTTAAGGATACAACTCATATCTAAAGAGGACGCGAGTTCAAATCCTGATGTAGATGCGAATGCGTAATTTGCTAGTATCTTTATTAATGCTTTTCGAGGGGTGAGTTTGACAATGCCCTGATCTTGGTGAGCTTTTGGATACAAAAGAGAGAAAACTAGAGTGGATGGTGGACTATTATGGATAGTTACTAGCATTTAAGTAAATCAAGGTAAGGCTACTTCCCTGTGTTAGAAGGTACTCATGCTTCGGAGATGGTGGACATTGGGTGAGCCTTATCAGTAGTGGTATTAATTATGCTTATGGATAATGGAATTTCCCATCTTCCGTATAGAATATTTTTCTAGAGTTTTGTTTGCTCTTGTGTGCAAAGTACAAACTCATTACAGAACTTGCCGGTCCTTTTGATAGCTTTTGTTTTCATTAGTTTCTTAATCAGATTCTACAGCTGAGATAACTTATTCTTAATCTATTCTTGCAGATGAAAAAGTTCAGTGAAGATATTTATGGTGAGATGATATTGCTTGATGTTGCTGTGGGTATAGCTTGATGGGATATACAGTTTGAAGAAGCAATGTGCGGCTCACAACCGATGGAGAGACTCAATATTTCATTAAAATGATGAATCAAAATTCGAAATTGAAAACAATGTGAGATAGGTAGATGATATACCTGCTTGGGTTTAGAAAAAGAGAGGCAGATGATGTTCTAGTCAAGTGTATTATTCTGTTGGTGCGAGTGGTTAAGTAGTAATTGCCAAAGAAGATTGTTTAGGTAGTTTTGTCTTCGGTTGGTTTTTTTGTACATATATGATGCGTGTAAACTTATTGATAAGATGCTCCAAAAATGTACTAGTACTTCTTTTAGACAAAAAAACATGAGGTGTTGCCTGAACATGAAGCAGCAGTGATGACGATATAAAGAAAAACTCTGCCCAAATTTGGCCAGTTGCTTGTGCATTTTACAATTAGTCCCTTTTTGCATATTTGTTATATTCCCTTTTCTGGTTTTTAATTTTATTGGCCTCTCCTCTCCTTTTGCTTTGTTCTTTTTGGATCGTACTGTTTACTCATGTGAACCCTTTCTTTCGTGGAAACTGGAAAGTATCTGATAGTGGGTTTGAATTTTGATTAGTATCAGATTCCTTTCCTTACGATAGCAAGATGTTTATTTATTCAAGCATACTGATTTTGACTTTAGCCGTGGCAGCTGTCAGCTGGGCTGTGTTCATACTTTGTATTTTATGTGTACATCATATAACATCTAGATGATAAAATCCATTAATGTTATATTGTTTAAAGTACACATGGTGAAAATTAGAAAGAGAAGTGAAAATTAAATTAAGTTTGAAAAGGCGAGGAAAATAAAACTATTTACATAGAGCTGTGATCGGAGACGGTCACGGATAAGCTTGGAAACCGTGCAAGTGTCGACAAAATTTGAAGTTGTCGGTGATGATCCAAGTTGTTTTCTAGTGCTACTGTCTCAACAAGAGAAGGGGACCCGCAGTACGATTAAATGAAGTGTTTATGTCAAGGACAAGGAAAATTGTACCACTTTGCTTCACTTGCTGCCAATAGTGTGGGGACCTGCCGGTTACACATGCCAACACACGCATTGTTGGATTCCTTGTTTTCATAAAAATCATTTGTATTTTTCGCTTTTATCTAAAAATAAATATTTCTTTACAAGTATTAATATTGACTTAAATGCAATTTTTGTGATTTTTCCATTATGACAAAAGTTAATTTTTAGTCCTTTTATTTTAAAATTTAATTTTGATTTCTGAATTTTGCATCATTTTAGATTTATATTGGTATCCCTCCATTTTGTCATTGCAAACAGTGTCAGGTCATATTTTTCATATTATTTAATTAAAATGTTTGATTAAATGATTGAAAAAATAAATTGTAATAATTTTAAATAAAATTAATAATTAAGTGTTTATATTAAACATTGAGAATCATTTTATCGTTCCACTCATCATTTTCTTTCCCCTTCAAACCTGCAAACCCTAGGTCTTAAATCCTAAACTCAACAGTTTGGATCCAACACGTACAATCATCTTCTTTCCTTTTCAAACATGCATCTCCTTAATCTAGAATGTCTCAGAAATCTGGAAGCAACAGTAACAACATATTTCGTTGTAAGTAGCGAATGTAAATGCGATTCTAATGCGCCGTTGATAACGGTATGGACATATGTGAATTCAAGTCATCGCTTTTATGGTTGTGGTATGTATAAGGTATGAAATTGTTTGTTCAAATTTTTATGTTGTCACCATTGATGTATCTTCATGCTTCTTTATTTTTGTTCTAGATACAGGGTTACAAGAAGTGTAACCACTTTATTTGGTTGGACGAAGAAATCAACCATATAGCAAAGGAAGTTATCTCTACATTAATGCATAATTTAACTAATGTGAAGCAAAAGGTTAAAGATGTCAATTTTAGAGATGAGGAAATGAAGATGGAGATGGAAATTTTGAAGAAATAGTTGAAGTTCATCTGGATGATGACCATCATTGTGCTATTTTCCCTACTTGCTTCAATTCTAATGAAATTGGTGTTTAGTTGATTAGTTGTTATTTGACTACGTTGTAACTATACTTCAATTCTAATGTAATTCAGGGTTCATTATTTAAATATAATTCTGCTTCAATTATAATAAAATTCTGCTTCAATTCTCATGTGATTCTGGGTTTATTGTTGAATATTATTGGATGTGTTGAATGTTATTGATACTTGTTCATTAAAACTCACTGTAGATAAAAAAAAATATATGTTGTTGAATATTTGGTATGTTCATTACATCAGATAACAAAACCTGGTCTGATACACAATGAATAACAAAACATAATAGACCATGTTTACAACAAAACACAATGGTTCATTAAAGACCATATTTACAACAAAACACAAATTCACCTAAACCCTAATCTTGACTTACTTGAGGTGCTTGAGACCCTTGTGCAATTTCATCTTGGTTTTCAGAGGTCTTTTTCTTTCCTTTTCCACCTTGCTTTGCCTTCTTTTCCTTCTCTGTGTTGCCTCCCTTTGGCATTGTCCTGTCAACTGCTCTTTTCCCCTTACAAATCCTCTTGTTATGACCCACTTGGCCACATATTTTACAAGTTACATTTGCAAACCTCCTTGAAAAAACATATGGATTCCTTGGCTCCTAATTTGTCTTGTTTCTCAGTTTCTTTGGACGACCAATTACTCGTCTCATCACTAGTGGAGAAATTGGTACGTGGTCACTCACAGGCCATAGTTGTGGTCCATTTGTTGGAAACACAATTTGTGAGTAGGTCTTCTTAAATTATGTTTTCATACAAAACATTTCAAAACAAAACAGTTCATAACAGTCCATAACATCTATACACAATTCATAACATGAGATAACAGTTCTAAACAGACTATACCTATAATACTCAACCACATAGTCTTCAAGTTGTTTTTTGATGCTCCATATACATGAGATATCACCTCTAAAAAGGTGATAATAGGTTTGTCCCTATGCTCCGGTATTGCCTTGTTAAATGCCTCACACATGTTGTTGACTTGTAAATCACACTTTGTATATGTCTTGAAATGAGATATGCTTCATAGTTGTGTAAGGGTTTCTGACATGTCCTTCAATGCATTTTCATTTAAAACTTTCATTATCTACATTGTCCTATCCCATGCTGGAATTATTGTTGCCCTAGCTAATAACCACATGACTTCTTTTAATTTCAAGCCAGGGTACTTCTTCTTCCAATTACCATAAAGATGCTTGACACACAGTCTTTGTTTTACATGGGTGCTAATACCTTGAACCGCAGGGACCAATCTCTGTCACATATAAAGGTAGAACTATATAATAAGATGTAAGAAATTCATATAAGGTAGATATAAATGCATATGCTATTTGATATAAACACATATAATACCTTTTATTGGTCAAATATAAATGCATATGCTCTTTGATTAACTTGATTTAAATCTTCAAGTAGAAGGTGTAAGAAACACTCCCATGAGTCCTTGGCCTTAGCTTCAACAATAACATATGCAACATGAGAGATTTTATTATTACCATCCCTGACTACTGCTGCCATTAATTGACCACCATAGTTACCTTTTCAAAAAATAAGCATCCAACCATATGAGTGACTTACATGTTTTTTGCAAATCCTGCCTTGTAGGCTTCTAGACACACATAGATCCTTTCGAAAGCATGTGAGCCATTGCTTTCACCACATTGTATAGCCACAATTTTATTAGGAGTTGATTTCAACAAATCTTTCCCATAACTTCTCAAATGGTTGAACTGCTCAGTCCTAACACCTTGAATCAACTCCGTTGCCTTCATTTTTGCCCTTTAAGCCTGATCAGATGATAATTTAACTCCATACCTCTCAATGGACTCATCTACGAGTCTTGCTGGTTTAATGTAAGGGCTATGTCTAAGGATATTAGCAATTTTTTGCAAGCCAATTAGTTTTTGCATTCTTGTTATGTGCATTCCTGTGGCATGTATGATCATCAACAAAGCTGATTACTTGCCAATACTGCTGCTCATTCTTTTTACTGAACCTAACATAAAAGTTAGAACTAGCCACACATTTAATCACCATTATTTTGGAATCATTCTTCTTTATGAACACATTCTTTTGATTTTTCCATTCTATAGTCCTTGTTTGCCTCTCTTATAATCTTCTTGTTGGTGAACATCATCCGTAAATGAAAGTTCACTCCTATACCACTCTTATAAGTTGGATACTTAACTACATCTTCATCATCATCAGTCACGGGAGGTGTGTATCAATGATCAGAATCTTTAGATTCTTTATGTCTCTCATTAACATGTACCTTGTTTCCGCTAGAACATTCACCTAAGTTAGAGGATAAAACCTTGGTCCAATCAAAGTCCTCTTCAGATTCTGCACTAAATGTAAAATCATTATCCTCATCACTAAACCCACTTGCAACATAATCCTCATCAAAACTCATTTCTCCACCATTTTCAACATTATCATCACTAACTATATTATCATAATCTCTAATTTGATCACAATAACTTTTATTGTAGTTGGATTTGAAGATCAATAAAACTATACAAAATCTCAAACATAATAGATTGCACACAAGGTGTTCGATATATTTTCAATTGTGTTTTTTTTTTTTTATTTATCATTGGAAATATAATTTATTTTTAAGTCGTCTTCTAGTAATTTAGATTAAAGAATATTGGTTAAAGTTTCTTATCATTATATCCAATTTGTTTTAACATACGTATATTCGAGTTTTTCGATAGCGGTTCAGTTTAGACGAATAGATCCAAGTTACTTCCGCTAGCCAACATTTTAAAAATCATTTTCATCTATCAATTTTTTATTTTTGGGGATCTATTTACCCCCTCTAGATAAGCCGCATTCGTCTAACAAGTGGTATCACGAGCTCCGGTTAATTATGTTCTTCAATACTTTCTTTTTAGAAAATGGCCACCGAACCTAAAGGGGCGTATAATAGAGTTCCAATATTCACCAGTGAAAACTATGGCTATTGAAAATCTTGTATGCGTATTCATGTCAACTCGATTGACAAGGGTATATGGGACACCATCATGAATGGTCCAAATAAAATTACAATGACCAATGATGAAGTTGTTACTGTACCTAAACCGGAAGCACGATGGAATAATAATGATAAGAGATTGTGGTCACATGATTGGAAGGCGCAAAATATTCTCACATTTGCACTTGGTGTTGATGAATATTATCGTGTCACTCATTGTGAGACTGCCAAAGCTATGTGGTATGTATTAGAAGTTGACCATGAGGGAACTAATGAGGTCAAACAAGCTAGAATCAATACGTTAAATCAAGAGTTTGAACTATTTCTCATGAAGCATGGTGAAACCATTGCCAAAATGAAAAAAAGGTCCATACATCTTATTAATCGGTTGAAGGCTCTATGTAACCCTATCTCCAATGATATAACTACTAATAAGGTTTTGAGACGTCTTAATAGGTAATAGAAACCCAAGGTCCCCACAATCAAAGAGCATGAGCAAGAATTCACTTTCTTGAAGAAACATGAGAAAAAGTATGAAAATAAGATGAAAAAGGAGAAAGGTAAAGACAAGGAGGAAGAAAGGAAGTTAATTTCTCTAAAGACTTCAAGTTAAAAATCCTCAACTAATGAGCAAGGTGATTTTGAAACAAGAGATGACGAGAATTCAGGTGAAGAAGATATGAGACTTTTTGTGAAAAGATTCAACAAGTGCATTAAAAGAAATGGTGTAAAGTTCTCGGAGAAAAACCTCATCAAATTTAGAATACAATCAAACTCATCAAAGAAAGATGATAACAACAAGGAAGATCAAGACGTTCATGTTATAATTGTGGAAAACCCTAACATTACAAGCCAGAGTGTCCATTGATCAAGAAAGACAAAGAGAAAGGTCATCACAAGAAATCTAGCAAGTCTAGAAGGGCTTATATAGCATGGAAAGCGATAGCGATTCCTCAAGTGATGAAAGCTAAAGTGATGAGGATGAAGTGGGAAATGTTTGTCTCACCACTCATTATCATGACAAGAAAAAAAAGGTAATTCACTATAAATATGAACATGTTGGTGAATTGCCTCATGTTGAGTTGCAAACAAGCTTTTGAAAACCTACATAGAGAAGCCATATATGCTCTCAAAAAGTTAGATTCAAACAAAATAATCTTTCACATTTGGAAGCTAAACTTTTAGAAACCGAAAAGAATATGGAAGCTCTTAAGCAATTTATGATAGACATTCTAAAAGTTAAAGGTGAGGATGGAGAACCTTCGTGGTTCGGTTGTGAAGCTTGTCACATTTGGCAAAAGGAGGTAAATACTCTTAAAGCTAAGTTGGACAAGGCTTTACAGTCAAATGTCACTTTTTCTATTGATACTACTAAATATAAAATTCCTTACATAATATTTATAGAAGGTATAACTTTGTTGAAAAGGATCAAAATAGCAAAGGTCACTCTTCTCACCATTTAACTTGTCATTTTTGTTGCAAAAAGGGTCATACCATTGCAAAATGCAAATTTAGGAATTTTCTTGAGCCTAAAGGCATTTTTCAATGGTTGCCTAAATGCAACCAAGGTTTCACTCACCCATAAGGACCCAGTCAAGATTGGGTACCTAGCACTTTTTGTAGATTTTGCAGGATAAATGTCTTGACTCTATGAAGAGAGTATGAGATCTTGTTTGTAGTTGTTAAAGACATAATACGAATAACATATCCTCATTTTGTTGACTTCGTGGCAAGGAAGAAGAGTTGTGTTACTAAAGGCATCAACAACTCGTGTTTCTTATATTGGTAAAAATGTGTGGACTACTTGTAATGCTTCCATCCCAAAAATGTAGAAAAGATATTTGATTTCATGAAAAAGGCTTATCTTTAAGAGACATACTGAAAAACATTGAATAAGGGATAGATCAACCTAAGATGATAAAGCTTGAGGAGGAGTAA